TTGGGCGTAGGTGACTTCACCCTCGTTGATCCTGTTGGCTTCAAGTTCGGTTTGTACTCGTTGCTGAACGGTCTCCTCCACTTTTTGTTGTAGCTCTTCCCCGCTAAGGGCGGAGAGGTCGATGCCCTCCATGGTTTATGTTGTTGTGGGAGTCTACCGATTGCGCGTGACTGCACAACCCCCGGAAGGCTACGCCCGCGCGCAGGTACCGTGATATCGTCGCACTAGTGTGAAAGGTAAACTACGCGGGGTGTAGCAAGCACGTTCTGGACGCTACTTTGGGGCACTGGGTAGTCGGCCGTGTTAGGCCGAGAGAGAGAGGTTGAGAGAGAGTTGGAAAGAGAGTGGGAGAAGGAACTTGATTGGAGAGAGACGGTGGTGGTGGTGGAGAGAGACGGTGGTGGTGGTGGAGAGAGAGAGGGAAGAAGAAGAAGAAGAAGGAGAAGAAGAAGTGCGCAGCACGCACGCAAGCCTCATCATCGCACCGACCACGCCCAAATGGTCCCCGTGACTGCGCCGGTGGTACCCTTCAACAACGAAATTCCCAACACGTATCCCCCTGGGATCCTCACGACCAGATACTGCTGCGAGTATATCTAACATCCCCCCTGCTCGCAACAGTCTCTCACTGAAAACTTCGCTAACACCCGATATCTCAACCAAAAGACGTCTTTCCCAGAATATATACCATGAAGACTTGACCAGAATAATATCAGAGAGAAAAACAATTCAAAGAAATATGAATGCTGCATCGTCGCGCTTAACAAATACTTGGCGCGGGAAATGAAACAAAACGGGAAACAGAACACGACCAAAACACAACCCATCAGAAAACAATAAAATATTCATGTCAAATTCATCACAAAATCACGGTGAGACTCGAAAGCATCCTTCGACAAACTCTTCGTAGAAAGTCTGCACGCTGGTNTAGCAAGCACGTTCTGGACGCTACTTTGGGGCACTGGGTAGTCGGCCGTGTTAGGCCGAGAGAGAGAGGTTNGAAAGTCTGCACGCTGGTACGCGGCACGTGGATGAATGAAATTTCCTTCCTCTCTACCAGTTCCCTGCGAAAATGGTGCCTTACATCTTTGTGCTTCGAGTGCGAGATTGAGATGGGGTTCTGCGCTAGTTGAATCGCCCCCTGGTTGTCCTCGAAGATGGGAATGCACGGCATGCCGACCTGCGGCAACATGAAACGCCAAATCTGCCTCAAAAACAAAATCTCCTTCGCTACGTCACCTAGCGCGACGTACTCTGCTTCGGTGGTCGAAAGCGTGACACACTCCTGCGTTCTGGAAAACCAAGACACAGCGCCTCCTCCACACGTCACGATCCCCCCTGATGCCCACCTGCGGTCTGCTGCCTTGCTTGCAAAGTCCGCATCAGCGTACCCCGGCAAGCTTTATCCCTCCACCGTACCTCTCTGAAACGAAATACCAAAGTGACTCGTCCTCCTCGCATAGCCTAAAATCTCCATCGCTGCATTCCAGTGTACCAGCTTCGGAGATGCGCAATACCTAGCTACTNCCCTTACTGCATTCGCAATGTCTGGCCTAGTCTGAGTCGCCAGCCACATCAACGATCCTACCAGCTCACGAAACGGAAAGTCTGTCGCCACCTTACCCGCATCAAAATCAGAAAGCTTCACCCCCGAAGACATCGGATTGCTCTTACCTCCCACTACTCCATATTCTGCTGCTAGCTCATCCGTGAAAGTCTGCTGAGAAATCGTCAACCTACCGGTCTCCTTTTTCCTCTCGTAAAAGCACCCAGAATACCATCTCAACTCTCCCAGGTTCTTCACTGGCACGGACTAGTCAAGGTTGGCGTCAAACTTGTCACATCTCTCGCTCTCTCCCACAGCAAAAATGTCATCTACACGTACTACCAAAATCAAAACAACACATCCATCCTCAATCAAACGAAACACANCCATACATCATCGGTCTTGATCTCGACGACATCCGTTCGAGACCAATACAGCAGAAAGGAATCCACAGAGGCAAGAACCTCTGCATTGCAGTAGTTGATTGGAACACAGCGGAACCCGTTAACCAATTCCAACATACCATCCAAAGGAAAATACTCGGGCCAGAGCCCCTAGGATCGTGTTGGCGTCGTCAACAGGACGGCGGTATTTGTGCCGCGTTTACGGAGTTCGTGTCTAGCCGGTTGATATTTAGACGGGAAGAGTCAAGAGCGAGCGTGAGCCCCCCTCTCTCTCACTCTCCCAGCGATCAACGAGCAAAGCTACCTGAACAACAATCAAAGTGAGTTCAATCAAACAACCCTTTTGGTCCTCTACGATGGTCGGGTCCGCCCCGTACGTAGTCACCCTTGGGAGAGCACCCGTTTTGAGGAGGTCCTCAAACCACGGAACCCGTTGTGGTCTCTGCTGGTTATTTATTACCATTTCTGTCGTGGAGCGAATACGCATGCTCACACTTACTGCTGTCATGCCATCCAAGGCTTGAACCACGAGCCTCGGCCAGGAATGGCATGGGTTCAGTAGATGAACGTGTAGCGGGCGTGTGCCAGTTCCTATAAACACACGTGTTGCCGCGCGTCGCCCACATGAAAAGACGCGTTTGGTTAGGGTTAGACTACTAGGTATTCAGCAACCAAACAAACGCGTTTTAGTTCTGTTACATGCTTCCATGGCTTGGATTTCTATGGTGTTACGGAGGTAGAGGCATAATGATCGTTCTGGGGGCCTCTATTCGATAAAGTTACCCCATTAGACCACGAAGTCAGCGCTGACTTCGTAGTCAAATAGGGTAAGCCTTGCTAACAAAATATACACTCTCGGCTCGTAGCCACCCAGCCTTACAAACAAAAGATACACTCTCGGCTCGTAGCCACCCGGCTGGTCAGTGGGACGTAAGAAGTAGAGATCTCCGGGGACGGGCCCCTCGCCAGGCGCTGCAGGGAAAGAACTTGGGGTTCTTTTGAAAGTGACCATCTGGGATTCGAACCCGTGTGTGTGACACCTGTTGTTGAGGCTTACCTCATTAGACTACTCAGTCGCGCTATCCTGCTGATAATAGCACGGTTTTGTGCCTTCGCATTAGAGGAAGCCTCAGGTGTACACGCCCAAGTTTGGCAAAACTACATATTCTGACTGTCCTCCACCAAACATCGTTCACCTTACCTTATTTCCTCTGGTCGTGGAGGACAGAACACCCAAAGATTTACCGTATTGGTCGGTGCACCACCGATTGAATATCGTCAAGAAAGCATGCCGTGTGGTACGCTGTGAGTGCCTTCAATATCCTACCTACTGGGGCAAATAAAACAGCTCTCGAGCATGCCGTATACCTGCTACTGTACATGTAGGTTGATTTGAAGCGGGCACTACACACACACAGCAGTAATTTTGTTTTGTTTCCTCTGCGCACACTGCGTTCAATTGCAGAGTAACGACCTATATTTTGTCGATACTCTGTGTCGTCTGCTGGGACTCTAATCGACGACGAATCTACACAATACCAGCATCTCACCGGCTGCGATAGCATCGAGGTCGTCGAAGTACGGAGATGGCCGTTACATGTTGGCGTCGAGAGATTGCAGGGCCGCCACCAGGACACCCTTGCTCTTCTGCGACATCCTCGGGATCT